AATGGATAAGAATATCATGGGGTATAAAATTGACAATAAAAATGGTAATTAAGACAAATTAATCATTACTGAAAAAATAATTAGTCTGGTCGACATGCAAACATGTGAAAGATAATAAAGAACACAGTTTACCTCAGTTTTACGGGACCTAAAAGTCTAAAAGTTCACTGGCCATGTGTTGTCATTTCTTACCAAGATATAGATAAACTCAGAAAAAATTTACCTTGGATTCATCAGTTGGAGCAGATATTGACTGAGAAGAAACCAGTTAGTGTGTATGAATGCAATCACTTTGGTTGAGATCATCAGAAGAGGAGATTATATTTGACTGAAGAAGAGAGATGGCTGTAGCAAATATCTGAAAGTATCAGTTCTGAGGATGAGACTTGAGAGTTTGCTTTTCCACTGGAGGCATTTGAGTACTCTTCTCCTTTTGCAGGCCTTTAGGCAAAGTCCATGCTTTATCCGAGAAGGTGTGTTTTTGCAGTAATGATGCACTGATTTATCTGGATACTTTGAAGTAAAAATAGAGTGAGAGAGAGAGAAATAGAGAGGAATCCTAAATGGCACACCTCTCTCTGCCTCTCATCACTTTAGAGACGGATATACTTCAAAGAATCCTAGCTGTGGCATTGTCAAGTATCAGTATCTTGAATTAAAAATAAATCATATAATTCGCAAATATATAACGAAATTAATAGCTACCATATATATATATATGGTGAAATGATAACATCAAAATTTTGTTTCATGTAATTAAGTCATATATGAGTGATAATTGATAAATATGCACACCTTATTGCCACCCACCTATCCTTAGTTAGCTAGTTTCTTGAATATTTGGTTAAACTAAAAGATGTATAAAACGATTTATTCTTAAATCATAAACTATTTGACCGGCACTATATGGCAGCCAAAAAGGTAAAAAGACAAATTAGAGTAAAATTCTAGTATGGTATGCATCTAAAGCAGGAAGAGCTAGCATTACAACTATTAGCCGAATTAAGAAAACATATAAAACAAAAGAATGCCATCCAAAGAAAGTATGTATATACCTCTTTCAAGATAAAGATCAAAGCTTTACTTGAGATCTTCAAATTAGAAAGCTTTCAAATGAAGAACACATTGACATTTCCGTTTACTGTGCTAGTCTCTCTCTCAGTAATGAGAAAATAGATGTAGCAGTATATCAGTCCTCATGCCTTTCTGAGGTGAGTCTCTATGGCCCCAAGATCACCCTTGTGAACACATTATGCTTGACTAATCAAGCATAATATATATACGGAATTGGGCTAGCTAGTTGTGTAAGTCAACCAAAGATTAGATTTTGTTCATACGAAGAACCAAAATCAACAGATCTAACTATATGTAACACAGGTAAAGTAAAATGTGAGGAGAAACCATACCAAGTGATGCTTTTGCAGGCTCCTCAGTGATAACTTGAGGATCAGGAATGACCATTTTGATTTCCAGATGTCGCTGGTCCAGATTTAGTGTATCAGAGACTGGATATTTGCGATCAAACTCAAGCGCTTTCTCCTTCTGGTATGAAGCTTCGATGAAGCTCTCTTTGAACTTCTGATCAGGATCCATCGGACCATCATCACGAAGTTGGTGGTGGTTTTGGGTAGCCATGAATGATGGAGGGTGCTGAAGGCTAGTCATCAAGAAGGGTACAGAGAACAGATAACTTATAGTGAGAACTGAGAAGTGAAGCTGCAATATATAATAGTGCTTGTTTTGCACTGAGCGAGGGTTGATTGGTAGGTGAGTTTGGAAATATATTCAAAGTATAAAGCAATAGTGGATGGGAAATATGGCGATCCCACATGGATGGAAGTGCGCCTGTGGATCTTTTGCTTGCTATGTAATAATTAAATAAATAAATCCGTTTAAGAGTTGTTACTGCAAGTGGAGTTCAATAATTGGGTTCAATATTGCAGGATCTAGAAAGATCAAATGTACTAACATTACCTGGTTTCCATTCCGAAAATTGCGGGTCTATTGTCGTCATACAATTTTTTCCCACCAGGATGCCAGCATGAATCCCTCTTTTCAACGTTTTTAACCGTTAGAGGTCCCACTTTCTAGCACCTTTTACTTCCTTCCTCTGTATATATATTATATCTTGGCTTCGTAATTGACTTGGTCGTAGGATTTTATTTTTTATTTTTTTGCCAATTATAGGTACTCCCTTCATTTTTTTTTTTTTTTAACTAGACTGAAATTCAGTGCATTGCACGTAGAGTTAATCCAACACATTTTTTTTTTACAAAGAAGAATTCCTATATGTTTCTTTGTTTTTTTTTATAAGTAAAACCATAAATTTTAAGAACCTTTTATTACATATTTTTTCAAATTATCTCATAAATTTAATTCTTATTTTCAAGAAACAAATTTATTTCATTAATTATATGGATAATTTAGTTCAATTTTTTAATTTCAGACATGATTATTATTATACTTAATCAAGTTTCTTAAATTGTGTGAGTTACGTTGGTTTTTAAGTTTTCTCTTATATTTAAAAATGAATTAGTATTAATTAACAAAATTACTCTCTCCAATTTTAAATATTGGAGTTAATTAATTAACTAATTCATATAGATTAAGAAAATCATATAAGTTATTAGTTGTATGTAAAAATAATATATGTTGTCTTTTTTTAAAATACTCCTCCTTTTAATGCAAAATTTAATGTATGCATGGGCTGAATCAAGTTTAATAATTTCATTAAGATTTGAATTCCTAGACAACAATTATTAATTGTAAAGAATGGTAAAATTAGAAAGTTATATATTTTTTATAATTTTAATTATATAACTAATATCTTTTAATAAGAGCAAACATTAATTAATTTTGTCAATGAATCCCTCTTCTCTTCATTTTTGGCTGTCAAAAGTCTCTCACACATTTTGGCACTTTTTTATTATGTACAAGTGTCTTCCATTTAAATGTAATTTTGTTCAAAATACAATTGAGTATCAAATACGGAGATATCTCTTGAAGAGAAATTCAAATCTTAGTTCATCACCTCTTCCAACACCCAATGTAACCTGCCTTTTAAGAAAACAGTTGCATAGCCCAAGTAACATTTCCTCCTCCTGTCTATATTAAATATATTGTATACCATAATTGACCGCATCAAAGGTATTTAAAAAAATTATTAAAATTAACTTGTCTCAACTAATAATTATTGTTTAGACTTTGCTACTTTACATGGAGTTCTCTTTTTATTTTTTATTTTTGAAAAATTAATTTACAAATCCTTCTAATTTTTTAGAATTTTTGAATTAGGTCTCTATAATTCATTTTATTTTAATCAACCTCTTGTAGTTTGATTAATTAAATATGTTAGCTCTTGAAGGTTAAAATTTCTAATGAATGATTGACTTTTCAAATTAAAAAAACTTTTAAATTTAATAGAAAATTTGGTTTAATACTTTGGCTAAAAAAATTATCTAATACAATATTTTTATTTTTATTAATTTTTATGAAAATTCTATATTTATTAAATTTATTTAGAAAACATAAATTAATTAATTATATAAATTTGAGTTATAAAAATTATGTAATTAATTCTAAAATTATATAATATTTAAATAAATATATAAAAGTCTTTAATTTTATTTTTTTAAATGGAAAAACTAAAGGATTTTAACAATCAAGAACTACCATATTTAATTGATTAAACTATAAGAACTTAATTAAAATAAAATAAATTATAGGAATCCAATTTAAAATCAAGTAAAATTATAAGGACTTATAAATTATTTTTTAATTCGATTGAGTCATCTAACTTGATTTTTTGACTCTGTCTTCTGCGTTTGACCCAAACAAACCCAACTTGGCATGGTATCATTGAATTTTGTGCAGTATAACATTAATATCCCTTACAAATCAGTGTGTCTTAAACCAACAAAAAAAAAAAGTCCTTAACAAGTGGAACATGGCTATCATCTACCCTCTAAATTTAACTAAATTCTTACATCATGTATTCGTATATTTAAAGATACTTTTTAGAAAAAAAAAAAGTGTATGGCGGGATAGATAATGTCACTAGTTTCTATTTAACATAAAAGATTCAAATTCATACACAGTGGCGTAGGGATCACAATTATGCTTTTGGATTGTAGGGATGCCCTAATGAGGTATTAAAACTAAACTCCTAATTATGATTTTTTATTGGATCCTAATCATGGGTCAAAGTTAACAAATTTAACTATTCTTAAGGAATGGTACCTAATATCCTTACATTTGTAAAAACATGTTTGACTTTTTAATTTACTCTTCACTAAAATTAAAAAACTATAATAAAATGTGTTTAGGAATACAACTCGGTGAAATTAAGGTGGGGAAATATTAAAAAAAAAAAACTACTACTTCTTTGTCCTATATTCAAAACTAAATAGGGTCTTATAGCTTCAAAATTTAATTAGGACTGGAGGGAATAGTTTAGAAGTCATTCTTAGGTATCAAAGTTTTTTTTAAGAAATAAACATTACATTATCAATTCGTTTCAGATCTTAAGCTTCTAACTAATATTGATTATTTATGACAAAGTGTTGAGTGTAATAATCTTTTTTGTAAGTTGACCAGTTCATTGTAGAGGGTGTACAAGGGCTCATAAAGGGATATTAATTAAATGTGTAATCTCAGTAAAACAAAAGAGAGATCATTGTATTTTGTTCAAATATTTAGAAATAATTTTTTCACATCATTGCCAGCACCGAAGATATGATTACATAAATTCAAAATCCCGCAATTTGAAGGAACGAAGCGGTTAAACAAATTCAAAAACAAATATTAACAAGCAGTAAGTTATACATAAATTTTACAACACATGTTATTTGAGAATTATTTGTTCACAAAGCCATTCAAACTCTCTCTCTCTATACACACACACACACACACACATAGTTTCTTAATATATATATATATATATATATGGATACAAAACACAAATGTGGGTTTTATTTATGAACAATAATAGAACAAGCTGTTGCAAATGCTCCAACACATCAAGTTGCACTTATGTATCATCACCTTTTGCAGATGAACTCTTGTACCAGCTCATGAATTTCGCTATGAACTCTGAAGGAAAAAGAAATTAATTAGCTCAATAAGTAATAAGACACACACACACAAGTTGAACTCACATTATTAGGATCTTCTAAAGTATTTTATGGTGAAATAGAAAGAGATATAAAAGAGAGATGGGACCTCCATTTTTGTGATACCCACATGCACAAGCAGGACCCATGAATTTATTTCTACATATATATATATATATATATATACATGGTAATCTAATTTATGTTTTTTTAAGTATTTCAGAGGATCCAGATTGAAGATTCACTATGGTGTCCTACTCTTTTCATCTTTGAATTAAAGTACGGTAGAAGATTATCAGAATCCTAGGTCAAATATTTGAGAAAGAACAGTTTATTCCAAGAATATTATGATATATGAATTTCTGATTTATCATAAACTCCAATTAAATATAAAAATTAGATTCATCAAAAACACCATCTTGTCTATTAGATCATATTCTCAATTTATTAATATAATTATAATTTTTAATTACATAATAGATCAAATCAATTTTAATTTTTGATGATCTACATTAAGTAGGTGCAAAAAGAAACAAAAAAAACTATTTACCTTCAACTTCTAAGTAACTGCGAGCATTATTCTTTTTTGGTAGTTCGTTGTTCCTTTCATCAGATAATTCCCTTTCTTTGTTGTGAGCTTGACCAGAATGCTTCCCACTTCTCAATTTCATTTCGTAAACATTCTGAAATTGAATTTTTTCAAAAAAAAAAACAAGTGTCATATTTTAGAATTATCATGCACAAAAATGAGAGTATGGATCACTTATTCTCAAGTTGAGCTTGTACATGATTGTACTCCTTCTCTAGTTTTTCAAGCCCTGGTTTTAGTGATTCATCCACCAGAGAATTGAGCTCTGATACCAAATTCTAAATCAACAATGATATCACCCTCGTCAATATCATAAGGTTTATTTATAAGAGAAATTAGTTAAAAACCAAATATGTAAACATAAATTGAATTTGTTCTTACCTTGTAAACAAAGTCAGGTGAAACCTTGTGAATCATGAGGCTTTGAAGCTTCACATGAATCGTGTATAGCCTGTTCAAAAGAAGTCATTAACTTTTAATAATAAGCAATCCGCCCCTTAATGAGTGTGTGCGTGCGTGTGTGTGATCCAAAAAAAAAAATGAATAAATAGTAATGTATGATTGAAACGTTACTTACTGTTTTGAACTTTGCTCTTGAAGTATGTTCTTAGCGACATTTGCAATGTCATCTTCCCATCCAGTTAAAATTAACTCGTCTTCTTTGATTGAATCCCTGCAAGCGAAATCGTTTTTATTGGAGGAAAAAATAAAGTTACAAGTTTGACATATCCTAGATTAATACTCTCTCTATTTCAAATTATAATACAATTTTGAAGGAATTTTTTGTCTCAAAATATAAGACAATTTGAGAAAAATAATGTTTTATTAATGATACTTTTTTAATATTATCCTTCAAGTGGAGAAAGAATTGCAATGATATTATAGTATAATGATTAAGTGGGTAGGAACATTTTTAAAAGTTTATAATTTTGTTTTGAAAAAATAAATTTGTAAAGTGTCATTATTGTATTTTATTAGTATGTATAATCTTATTTCAAATTGTCTTATAATTTAGGATGGAGAGAGTACATAAAATAAGATCATCATCATCATCATCATCATCATCATTGTAAAATACCACACCTGAAAACCCTAATCATTAAATTATGTGTGCTCACCACTTTAATCACAGCTTTTACTATACCACTTAAATATTATATATCCATTGGCATGTCATTCATATCATTTTGCAAGCTACTTCTGAAAATTATCAATGAAGACTATTAAAACAAATGCTAATAAAATTGAATTGGATGTTATGGATATAAGTTCAAAAGGAAAGCTCATTCTAAAAGATTAATCATTTGGATAGGAGCTAGAGCCTATTGAACTTACAAACATCGTTTCTCTTGTGGAGTTCCTCAATGAGGGACTTATAACAAAATAACCCTATTTAAGAGCTAACATCCCTGATAGCTCTATTATTCTATGATACTTTAGTCAGCTTCCTAGTGATCAAAATTCTATATAGATAGCCCTCTCTATAATGTCTGCCTCTTAATAAAAGCACCAATGTTTTAAGTATAAGTTTAATGAGAAAACTTATTCCAAAAAAATAATATGTTGGGTAGAATAAATCCTTAAACTTTTAAACCGCACTTCTCTTGTGACATTTGCTAGTGTAGTACTCATAACGTTAGATGTTATATTTAATTTGATCATGACTTTTTAAATTAGTAGCTTATAAAAGTTTATTTTACTATAAAATCTGATTTACGATTTTACTATAAACACTTCTAATATATATATACACACACTTTCTTTGCTAAAAAATATAAAGCGTTTTTAATCTTTTAAGGTGTAATCTTTTTTTCAAAAATGTCTCTATTGAATAAATTATTTTATATTTATTTTAGGGTAAAACACTCTATTAAGTAGAGGTTAATATAGAAAGATAGGATTAGTTTGAAGACAAGTAACTAATTTATTAGAGGTGAGATTTGATTAAAAATGCTTTATATTTATGGATAGAGGGAGTATATATATATATACACTCCTCCCATTTAAAAATATAATGCATTTTGAAGGTTTGAGTATTAAAAAAGTGTAAAGCATTTTTAGTATTTTAAGGTGTAATTAATATGCTTTTCTAACAGCACTCCTAATAAATAAATTACATTATATTTATTTTAAAATAAATGTTAAATATGGATAAATATGAAAAGATGATGTTAATTTGAAAACAGATAGTTACTTTAATAGAGATGCGATTTGGTTAAAATGCCTTATATTTTTAAATAGAAAAAGTATTTATATATATAATTTAATATATAAGAATTAATCTTGCATGTATAAGCAATAAATACATATAATTGAATCTTACTTGTTGCGGCAAGTGGCCTCCAAAGAACGAATGGCCTGGCGAAGATTGTTCTTGGACTTCTCAACAACCTTCACGAGGAATTCTGGAGACAATTCTTTTCCTTCCTCTTTTCCTATGTATTTCAAAACCTCAACGATCTGTTTACTAAAAAGCATGAAATAATTAATCTGAACTTTGGTGAATTAAGATAATATAATATTGATGATGATTTATGGGAGAAATTCTGACCTCTTGAGTGGAAGGAGGAGAAAGACGAAAGGTGTTGCAGAGAGGTTTCACAATTTGGAGCTTTGATTCATCAGAACAACAAAAGAAGACTTTATTGCAACCCTTGATATATCTCTCCAGCATCCATTTTATGTACATCAACAATTCTGTTGACAGTCTCTCGGCCTCGTATATAATTATTGCTTCCATAATATAACCAAAATCATATTAATTAATTCCATTCCTCCTTCCTCAGCATTTACTAATTATTATTTTATTCATTGCATTAATGAATCTTCTAAAACATTATGTCACAACTATCAAACTGAGGTTTTGTTGGTCCGAACTGATGCTTCAAATCCAAAAAAAGTAAGAGGTTTGAGGTAAAATTTTATGTTTGGACAAAAACTGAAATGAATTTTAATCCGAATAATTCATAGGTATATTATTAGTGAGTATGTTGAGTTTGAGCATATTATCTAGATTCTTGGAAACAAAATATTACTTTAGCTCAAACAAAAAAAAGAAAGAAAGAAAAAAGTTCATGGACCATTGAATTCTTTTGAAATTACACAAAATTGATACAATAAGAAAAATTCTTGAACTTATGAAATTGTGAAGGTTCTTGAGACGGAAACAACTAGTTCAAGTTCAATCTATGTAAAACGGTTTCACTTTTTTGAAGAAAAATGACATCGAGGTTCCAAAACTTTAATTTAATATAAAAAAGATTTTAGACAAAATTGTTGAAAGATGAGTATGCAAATATGAGAATCTCGATCAATTGCAAATTATCAGAGTAACTTATATGTGAATTGCAATTGAGATCTCATATTTACAACTGTTTAAATCTTAGGGAAATTTTTAAGACCTAATTGTCATTAAGTTAATTTCTTAGGACATTAATGTCATCCTCTCTCTCTCTCTCTCTCTCTCTCTCTCTCTCTATATATATATATATATATATAATTGTAGCCAAATTTAAAGTACAGAAATTACCTTGGCAATTTTTTGGGGTGCAAGGCAAAGAATTGTTCAGGATAATGGTTTGATAAGTTTCTTTCAACAAATCAACAATCACTTGCTTCTCATATCCCTTGGTTTGTGAGAGATTGACCTCTACATGATGGGCTGATTTCTTTATCGGCACTTGGATGCTTCCGATCATTTCTTCCTGTAAATTCACCTTTTTCACTTTAAAATTATTCATCTATACAAAAATTAACTACAAGTAGTGCCCAATCAATAATAGATAGGCATATTATTGAGATTGATCATGTGATTAGCATTAAAATTAATAATTAATTATGTTCTTAATTTTATGATTTTATGTTCAAATAATTATGAGAAAATTAGGATCTCCTACACTATCATACAAGGAAGTTAACCTAGCGTGTAAGAGATGCAATATTTACAATTGTTTCTGTTTATGCCGATATATTGATGGAAAAGTTATTCCCTCAATATCTCTAATTAGGGCCTCTTTGTTTTTTGTTTTTAAAAATTATTTTTTGTTTGTAAAAATAAAAAAAATAAAAATTTATTTAGTTACGGGTTTTAATTTGGATTTAATTATTTTAAAACTATTTTTATTTTTTAAAAAATAGAAACAATTTTAAATTTTTTTTGTTTTCAAAATACATTATATTTGATTATTGAAAATTACATTAATTTCTATTATAAACCACTACCATTAATTATCTGTAATCATTACTATCAGTCTATTTTTCTAATTCAAAAACTATTTTTAAATTAACACAACTAAATAGATTTTTTATTTTTTTAAAAACAAAAACCAAACAAGTCCTAAAAGTCCTAATTTTTTATTTTATTGAGTCCCTGATTATAAGTCTCCTTATAAAAATTCTAGGTGTAACTAAGATATTTTTTCTAAAATGCCCCTTATAAATTATGATGTAATTTAATTGAAGTTTAAAAATGGATGCCCTTTAATTGATGGCAAAACTAGAAAGAATAAAAAAAATCTTTTCATATCGACTAAATTTCAGTATTTTCTTTGTATTTATGTTTAGATATGTTAGGACTTACTCCTTGCATCCTTATATATAAAGTATTTTTTAAAAGCTTATTTTGTTCTTAAGTATAAGAGGTGGCAATGATATTTTTTCAGTAATTAAATAATTTTACCCTTATCTTGGAAAATAGAATAGATCATTAATTATATGTTTTCCTTTTCACCATCATGATATTAATTATGATATTATTAGGGGTAAAACTGAAAAATTATTGTGTTTTTATATGAGTTCAACTAAATAATAAATTTTTATTGATATGTAGAATTCAGTTAAAAACAGTTTATATATAGAGATAAAGGGAGTATATAATTTGGAGGAATGGAGTATTATTTGTTTCAAAACTCTCTCTCTCGCCCCCCTCCCTCCCTCCCTCCCTCTCTCTCACAAATCAATCATTTCCATTTATTTAATGAATTTCGAATACTTTAAGAGCCATCAATTTAGGGCTAATTAATTAAGCATAAAACCTGAGAGAGAAGCAGCCAGAGTTCTAAAAAACAATTAAGCATTACCTTCGGTGTGAATGTTTTATATTCTTCAGTCACCTGTAACGTGGAAGCAAATTTAATTAAAATGAAGGAATGACATCAAATTTTCATTATATATACTCATTTTGATTCTATTTATCAGTCACTTCTAGTATTTTCACCCTAACAAAGTTAATGAATTTTGTCCAAAAATTCAACAAGTGTTTAATTTTATCCCCATTGAATATATATAATTTGAAAATAAAATACTAATATTTAATAATCTTCTCAACATTTAATAGGGACAAAATAGTAAAGATGGACACAATAATCATTAAGGTGTTTTGTAAATATAACTAAAACAAATACCCTCTCTCTCTCTCTCTCTAACAAGAGGAGTATATAAATATATAGACACACACATCTATATATACCTTATACATATAGACACAGACACAATACACCATACCTTAACTCCTTCATGGCCAAAAAGCTCTCGAAGCAGAGCTCGAATCATAGTTCTCTTTCCTACACCAGGTGGTCCTTCAAATATAAAATGATTATCACAAGCACTCGCCTCCTCTTTTACCTGCATGTTTCTCAAAATCAGTTTTCTATTCACTGAATTATTATATTATTAGCATTTCTCAATATATCCACAATCCTTCACTTATTTTCCTTTTCCATTATGATTTTTTTTGGCCAAACATGACTTCTTCCATTATGATTGCACTAATAATCATGAAAAATATCAATGAATTTTCACAGTTGGGCATTATAACTATGAATATGATGATTCCATTGCGGAATATAACTATATTATATGAAACAAATCAAACAATTATAATTAATTAAATCAATACACACACACATATGCTCTGATCATATCTAAAGCTAGATAACATGATGTCTAAAATTGTATAGAGCAGAACTTGATATGTTCTATTATCCCAAAAAAAAAAAACCAAGACCGTTCTTAATAGAACTAATAATTATGGAAAAAAATAAAACAGAATAAAATGTTATAAGTAAATATAATAGAAAACTGAGTATATACTTAATTTTTTTTTCAAAATTTTATCTCAAAATTGTTTCTCTTGATTTCATTATCTTCTATATCAATTATCTCACTTAAGAAAATCAATTAAAAAAAATTCTGACATTAAACACTTTCAATCTACTGAAATTATCATACATACTTGCATATGTAAAATCATTACACTCGTTTATTAATTTCTTACCTCAAGAGCTTCAACTACAACCAAATAAAGGGAAAGATTCTGCCTCCAAAATAAAAGTGCCTTATTATCTTTCAGATTTTGCATACTAATTTTATATGATGAAGCTTGAATCCAAAGAGATAGATAGCTAGATATTTAAGGAAGTGATCATTTATATTGGAACAGATCAAAAGACTTGAAGTGGCCTACCTTTGTTAGCAGCTGAGCAACAATATGTTTGTGGCATATAAACTCATATAATGCCTTCGGCTGATACTTGTTGGCCCAAACAAATTCTTTCAAGCTTATTGCTTCTTCTTCTTCCTTAATCTCCTGAGGAACATCTTTATTACTTGAAGATTCTGATGATATTATTGCAGACACTATTCTTTGTTCCGGAATATTATTGGAAACACTCTCTCTCAAGGACTTCTTGTTTATCTCCTCCTCATTGTCCAAATCATGTTCATTAGTCATGTCCTCTTCCTTATTATTATTAATCTCCAAATCCACATGAGCTTTTTCCTCTGCACTTTCTTCTGATTCTCTCTCCCCCAAAGACTTCCCATCTTCTACTTTCAGGTTCATACTCAGAGCAGTCTTACCTGTTGGTTATTAGTTATTTAGCAATTAATTAGCATATATTATGACACATGGAATTCTCACATTTAAACAGCATTGTGTATAAGAGACTTTCTGAGGCTTGATTTTAGAATATATTAATGAGAGAGAGAGAGAGAGAGAGAGAGAGAGAGAGAGAGAGGCGCATACATTACATAGAGTTGTTGCGCATTCCTGAAAAATACTAGTTTTGTCTGAATTTATAAGAACTTTTTTTCGAAAATTATGCATACCAATGAAATTCCTTAAATACAATTTAAGTTTTAATTTTTTTTATAAAAATTCGAAAATACCATTCTTTAATAAGAGAGAAAGGAAATAAAATTTATTTAAGAAATAAAATAATCAGGAGTAACATTAGACTAATCATTATTAATGAAATCTTATTTTTTTTCAAACGTGTTATATTAGGGATTACTATATTATCTCCAACAATGTTTTATAAAATTGAACACAGGAAGTAACTTTTATTTGACAAAAATAAAAATATTAAAAATTAAAAATATTAATTGCTTTTAACTAACCTTTTTTTCTTTTAATGTTCATAAGTTAGTTATTTGTTTCTTATATATGAGACTGTGGATGCTGGCTGTGTCTACATTCAAATGTGGAAACTTTTCCCTTCCAATGTACTTGAGAAAATGACAATAAAATCCTCTTAAATTATATAAATAATAATTTGATCTTTTAAAATATCATAATTTCACTAAAGTCTCTAAGAACTCTTGTGTCAATAAATTTTAAAATGAACATATCATTTTATACATATCAAAAATAACAAGTCACAATCACAATTTTTGTTTAAGGAATAATAACTTTTGTTTTGTGAATTACAAAAGTTGTTCAAGAAATCACAACTTATCAAGTGTAATTTTATTATTAAAAAATAAGTTGCAATCACAACTTTTGCTTAAAAAAATAATAACTTTTGTTATGTGAATCACAAGAATTAAATAAGAAATTACAATTTATTAGTATAATTTTTATTATTAAAAAATAAATTTTCAAAATAATAAATCTCATTCATAACTTTTGTTTGAAAAATAACAACTTTTATTTGAAGAATCACAATAATTGAATAAGAAATCACAACTTGTTAATAAGACTAAAATTATCTTTTCACTTTAAAGTTTATTAATACAGAGGTCTCTAGAAATTTTAATGGAATTATGATATTTCAATGGACCATGTTGTCATTTATATAATTTGGGTGGATTTCATTGTCTTTTTCCCAATATACTTTCTTCCAACCAAACGTGCATGTAAAAGAACAAAAGACAAAGAAAGTTTAATTAAATTTGAGTCATGGAAAACATCTTTTACTTTCTCCTATTTTTCTCAATATTTATTTTGATCGAAATCATCGATCTTACCTCATATAAAACATTTGGAGGGAGAATCGTTGAAGATTCTTACGCTTTTTTCCTAGTATAATTTGGATTAAAAAACATTTTTACTCCTCAACTATTTGCTGAGGAACATCTTGTATCAACTTTAATGTAGTGCAATTTTTCCATTCAACATTTAAAAATAGTACATTAAGCATCTTATCATGAAAAAGTTAATTTTGACTCTTAGTTGACTCAAAAATTATAAAAAAAGATCCATAAAATTACACATAAGTACCCTATAAAAATAATATCAATTAAGCCTCCTAAATTATGTATAAATAAAATGATACAAATATTATTTCTTATCCACTTAAAAGGCTAAAATAGATTTTGACCAACTATTATTTTATGAACATAATCAATACTACTTTTCTTATATATAGGATATTTATTGGCAATTTTATGCGTCATTTTCTATAATTTTAGGTCTCTTTTTTGTATTCTTTCAATTAATTAATTATTAATTAAAATTAATTTTTTTAACTTTAAGTGTCTGTACCATTTTCAAAAGTTAGAAACATAATTAGTCCACACCTATTTAATGGTTTTAAACTTGAAGCACCAACTGATTTGACTGCATAAACTAAAAGGACCAAATAAAGAAGGGGCGGGGGGAAGAACCTAATTAAAAAACTATATGAAAAAACTATAAAGACCTTTTGAATTAACTTTCCCAACTTTAAAGCAAAATTACCTTCGGATGGAAACATAGGCAGGGGTGGTGGCGGCAGTGGTAGCGATGGTGACGGTAAGGGTATCGGTGCCGGGGGTGATAAGAACGACGATAAAGCACGCTGTCTTCCGGAGTCCCTCAAATCCGCCTCCTCCGCCGCCGCCGCATCGGGAACGACGTTCTTCAAAATCTCATCCTTACGCCCTAAGCACAAACCTAAGTTCATGTGGAACGCAAGGGACGACAAGTTTACAGGTCCAACACCACCATGCTCATCAAGTTTAGGAATTGCTAGAGAGTAATAATCAGTGAGAAGGCCTCTGTAATACGGACTAGACTCATACGCTGCTTCAACCTCAAGATTTCTCCACCCATAGTCATGCGATTCTAGGTTTTCTTGTCCTCCACGTCGACGAAGAGCCAGTGAGAAATCTGTAAGCCCTTTGTAGTATGGACTCTTTCTGGACCAAAACACAGTACTATTATTGTTGCTATTATGGCCAATGTTCAGATTGTACTGATGGTGGTGATTCTGCAAACCATCATCTTTGTTGTTGATAGCGAGAGATTGATCAAGAAGACCCCTGTAGTACGGACTCATCACAGACGACTCGTCGATGTTCATCTCGTGATGATGAGAACATGCTCGAAGATCATTATTATTAGGACCTTTTCTTCCGAGTCTGACCTTCATGAAAGAGTTTGAAGATGATGATGAAGAAGCTTTTGAAGTGCCACGTGACGACGCGCGTGAGATCAAGTGAGATTTGGGAGAGAGTTTTGTTTCAGAAGCTGCAAGATGGCGAAGCGGTGGGCTTGGAGGCATTGTTGCACTGATGGAATGTTAATGGTGCTTCTGTGCTGGTTGAGAAATTTGGAGAATCTGTGAGATATAAAGGGGATGGGGCAAGAGTGGGATCTGTGACAAGAAATAAAAAATGAAGAATCCATAGAAGACGATGCAACTGAGGGAATAAAACAGTTGATACGTTATGAACTATGTAAATATTAGATAATGCAGCTTTTGACTTCAGACGGTTGGCCAGCAGCATATTATATAATTATAAATAATAATGCGATGATTTAAACTATGCTAATAATTTCAATTATTGATTGGGTTATGACGTGGAAGAAATTGAATGTTAGCTTAAATAGATAGGAAGTTAAATTAAAAGAGTTAATTACCCTTACCGGGGCTACATGGAATCAAAGGTTCAAACCTTTCTAATGTATCTAGACAAAAAGAGAGTTACCCTCATTTGAGATTGGATAAGGCTTGAATCCGAAATACTTTCTTTGTTTCAATTTATTAATAAGACATTTTTAGAAGTGATTTGATATTTTAAAATATAAAACATTTTAATAAAAATAATGTTTTATTAATGATATTATTCCATTATTTCAGCCCTTAAATGAATTTCTTTCCCTCTCTTTTATAAATGAAGAGTACTTCTGGAAGTTTATAAAAATTAAGAAAGACTTTAAAAGTGATTTGATATTCCAAAATATTTGACTAATAAAAATAAGGTTTTTTTAATGATATTATTTCATTATTCCACTCCTTAATAAATTTCTTTTGGAGAATTTTAATAAAAACTTCTTAATCACACTTATTTAAATTCAAAACTCCTAAATTTTTAAAATTATATTGCAATCTAAGGGTACTGATTTGATATTAAAATTATGAGAGAAATGATAAAATTAACCCTAATTTAAATTAATATCAGAACTTCTTTATTTTACCTGTTCATTGTCTTACTTCACTTAGTAATTTATTAAAGAAATATTGTTAATTTTCCTACTAAACTTATTTTCATTTTAGATATTTAAATCATGTTAAGATAATTTTTTACTTCCTATACTGTAAGTTATTTATTTATTTACAGACTATTATTCATTGCCTGACTTTCACTTGATTTTATTTCAAGAAAATGAACAAGTAAAGTAAAGCAATTAATAATATTCAATAAGTAAATGAACAAGTAAAATAGGGTAATTAACAAGTGAAGTAGGGCAATTCTGATATTAATTTAAATGAAGGGCGATTTTACATAACAAATTAGTATTCCTTGACTGCAATGAAATTTCAGAAATTTAGGATTTTGAATTTAAATAAGTGTGGTACAAAGGTTTTTATTGAAATTCTTCCAATTTCTTTCCCACTCTTTTATAAATACTTTCTTTGTTTCAATTTACAAGACATTTTTAGAAGTGAGCTGACATTCCAAAATATAAGATATTTTTGATAAAAATAAGGTTTTATTAATAATATTATTCCATTATTTCACTCCTTAAATAAATTTCTTTCTTTCTCTTTTATTAATGAAGGGTATTCCTAGAAGTTTATAAAAATTAAGATTATATACTGTATTTAATGAATTTCATTTATATACACAAACTGGGACGGAGGGAGTAGTCTACAATACTAAATATCAAATAGTTGTTAAGAAAGAAAAATTGCTAACTTCTACCCAGAATTATTTTTACATTAATTAAGCAGATCGTGAACAATAATTACAAATTTATCATAACATAAAAAATGAAATATTCCTTCTTTTTTAAGTACAAATAGCAAAGGACAAATAGGCCATTGTATATTTTAATGGAAATAGTTTTATTGGATAATTTAGATTTTAGATTGTCACTTTCCAAGGTTTTATTTTGTAAGGTAAAAAGACTATCAAGGGAATAACAAAGAGAATATAAACGAAAATATATAGAATGTTTCTTATCGCTTAAATTTATTCTATTTTGGAAAGAGACAACAATGCTCTTTGGTTATCTGATATTTATTAGATTAAAAATAGTCTAAGAACCGAAATTAAAAGATCTTAAATTGTGAACCGAAAAGATGGGTTGGGGCTCTAATGCCCCTTGTTATTAGTTTTGGCCTCCTTTCTCAATCTTTTTTATATTTTTTATTAGTTTAATTTTTACGTAAAATAAGAGATATTTTAGTATTTTATAATCATGATTCATGAAACAGTGTAGCTTTCTATTTTTTTTTTAACTTTTTCTTAAAATGCTGATTTATTGAGAAGTTTATTTGGTCATCATGTAAAGGTTTGTTCGGTAGATTGGAAGAGGAAGTTGAGGGAATATTATTTGGTAGGATGCATGGAACGTTGATGGATTACAGACTTATTATTTTGCGACTTAGTTGATTCCATTCAAAATTTTGAGAGAAAAACTAGTAAATTACTTGCTATATAAAACAGACAAGAAAAAAAACGCTGGAAATATATATTTACACTGAAAATTTTAATTATGTGAAATTATTTTTTAAACATCTAATAATAATAATGATATCAATTTTTACTTAACGTTCTATACCTTTCTTTTTGCAGCAAATTTCTTTTATCTTCAGTTCTTTAGAATAATTTCAAAACTAATACAGGAAAAAATTTTCTTATAAATATTATCTCAAGTTCGAGATTCTCAACCATATTTTAAAAAAAAATTGAAGTTAATTCTCAAGAATCGATTTGTTAAGCACATTTTATTCCAATGACTATTGATCATTTACTCTCCTTTTTATTATGTATTATTCTTTATGCTGTCAAAACTTAAATTAAAATGTAAAAAAAAAATCACTTGTATGTCTTGAAAACATGATTAATTTTAAACTACAAATATTTTATTTTTATGTATATTATCGTTTAAGTTCATTCCTTTTAAGAGTACTAAACTTTATCTATAACAATAATTCAACAACTATACAATTGAATTTAAAATGCACAATTATTTGCAAAAAAAAAAATATTACAGTTGCCGTTGGAAACTCTTATATTGGTCATGTATTAACTAAAAAAAGATGACAATGAAAATATAAAAAATCATATATAAATTAAATTTTTTGATACACTTAATATTCAACATATTTATAATAAATTTAGTCATGGACAAAGATTATTGTTAAATATGTTGCTTCTAAATTAGTTAAGATTTCTAAGAGCATGCGTTGCTTCAATAAAATTAAACTTAATTAGATATGTACATAAACATGCTTGGTTGTTTGCCACTCATCGATCCTAATATTAATCTAGTTTTTGGACAACCACAACTTAGCTTCCTCAAGCAGGTCCTTTTTTATAAGTTTTTTAGAAGAAGAAGAAGAAGTAAGAAGTACTTAGCGTCCTCAAGCAGGTCCTTTTTTATAAGTTTTTTAGAAGAAGAAGAAGAAGTACTTAGCTTCCTCAATCGGGTCCTTTTTTGTAAGTTTTGAAGAACCTTTTTTGGTCAAAAAATATAAAAAGTTTTGTTGGTTAAGATGTTTTTTACCTCTAACCCTTTAAAAATTGTAAAAGGAGTGATTATGCTTTGGAAAGGAGTAATTGGCTTATGCTTTCTAATATATAAACGGAGACAAAAGTGGAACATTGAGCTACTTTTAACACCATAATTTAATTGAAAACATTTATTAAGATACTAAAAACTAGATTGGTTGATAAGCTAGTCAAGGCCATAATTTAAAGGTCAATGGTTCAATGAATAGGCCTGGGTTATACTAGTCATTATCAAAATATTATAATTTAATTAAAATATACAAAAATATTCATAGATAACCTGAAAAGAGTAATAATTAAATAAAAAGGTGTTAATCTACTTATAAATGGAACATTTATGCAATAAATCACACATAATCCAAACAAACAGAGTTATTAAAGTACAAATATAACTAAATGTTTTTTTTTCTTGTTTTACAAACTTAACAATTATGTTATCTCAGAATTCAGACTCAACAAAGAGAAAAAAAATATTAAATTTAACTTAGTTGACCCATTCAAAACTCTTGTCTAGACTAGTCAGGAGATTGGTTCACTAATCTAATTAACCAGCTTGAATTGTGTTTTAATTATGCCACGCATCAATCCTATATTATAAAAAGAAACTCATTAATTCATGGCATTTGTTGAAATATTTTGATGATGATAGGAATATTAGCTCCCATATAAGAAACTATATATATCGAATGACACTCATACTTCATTCTTTCGAATTCTCTCCAGGTGTGGTGCCTATCCAAGTGGAGAAAGATAGAGACAAAGGTTCAGTGGGTCCCTCCCGACAAGTGGGGCCTACCAACTCTGTAAAACGCTCCTCCCTCAGCCTCAGAGAAAAATCTGTAAGCCCTTTGTAGTATGGACTACATGACGATGAAAGCAAGAGATGATTCTGGTGACGACTTTGAGACTTATCATCGTTGATAATGACGAGAGATTGATCAAGTAAGCCTTTGTAGTATGGACTTAACACACAGTACTTATGGTTGTGCTGATGATTCTGCGAGCCGCCATGTTCCTCTTCTTCGTAGATAGCCAGAGATGGATCAAGAAGACCCTTGTAGTATGGACTCACCCAAGTTCTTTGATCAGTGCTTTTTCTTGTAAGTTTGAGCTTCTCAACAGTACTGTTAGAAGATGAAGGCTTTGAGGAAGATGATGGAGGGCTAGACATTGAACTGAAAGAATGTCGACAATGATGATGCAACGTTAATGGTGAAGAAGAAGATGTAACATCTCTGAGAAGTATATAAAGGAGTGCGAAATAATTAAACGATGAATCCGAAGAAGGTGATGAGATTGAGAGAACAAAATGCATCGAAATGTTATAACAACTATGTCCTTGTGGTATAACACTTAAAAAAGAAATAAAATAAAATACACTTTAATCTCATAACTTTATATGAAATTTCATTTTGGTCCCTAAATGTCTCGGATCTGCATGGACGATGAGTGGAAAATTGCCTTCGATGGTCAACCGATAATTAGTAGTTTTCGATTACATTTCTCTAACTAGATAAAAGCTTGATTTGGATTAAAAAAA